TACGGTTACGTACGTACGTAACGTAACTAACTAACCAACTTACTTACGTACGTACGTCGACTATACTATACTCTACTCTCTCTCTCTCTCTCTCTCTCTCTCTCTCTCTCTCACACACACACACACACACACATAAACTTTTTCTTCATCTCTTTTTCTCATAGACTTAGACGATTTCCTTTTATCTCTTCTTCAACTTTTTCAACTTTTTCTCATCACTCATCAAACGCTTCTTAGCCTTTAGGATTCTCATCCATCAACAGTTACACTGAATCACTCCCACCCTCTTGACTTCCAGGTGTAAATTCCAGGTATAAATTCCACAATTCTTTCCTTTCTGTTATTCTCTCTTTTCTTCTTACATATTCATCATCTCATTACATCTCATTACATCTCATACATCAGTCACATCAATCATCCATTGCCTCATCCAATACTGACACTGATCAGTCAACTACCTCCTACCAACATTACCACAAACATGTCGTCCGAGACAGAGGGAGCGGACAACGGGACTGGTAAGGTCGACACTGCCCCAGCCAGAAAGCCAAGACCCTCCAAGCCCCTAATCCCCAAGGACGACGTCGAAGCTATTCAGAAAAGACACGACGAGGCAATCGCTTGTATTCACCCTGACACCAAGAAGCATCCGTCTATGTATCAGCGCGTCGTAGAGTTGATCAAGAAGTGCAATGTTCGTCGTGGTTGGGCCGACACTCAGTTCTACAAGGACTTTACAGCCTGGTGTCGCGTCTCTGGACTTGATGCTAAGCCTGATCATGAGATCTTGCTTGCCACACTTGCGGTTCATGAATCCCTGGGCAGCAACAACTTCAAGTTCGCCCAAGAAATCAGAAATCGCGGCCTCGAGCAATGGCTAGAGCAAGAGCTCAAGAAACATCGACCTTTCGTAACAACACCTACTCCAGCTGAGCCAGAGACGCCTCGAATCAAAACTGAACCTGGGACTAGGAGCCAGGGACCAGAGCGGGGACAGGCCGATTCTTCTCGCAGGAACAACAGTATTCTACCATCGGTTGAAACTAATTCTGGAGGTCCTTTTCTTGCTATGAAACGAACTGCTCCCGACCATCCAGGCCAACCTGCGAACAAGCGTGCAAGCGCTCAGGTAGATCAGGCAAGTTTCACTGCCAAAGTCCACCGACTCGCAGAACTTCAAGCCTCGCAGCAAAGAATTGTCCTCCGAGACGCAGGGACGCAGACCGACAGCGACATCTCTCTGGAGAGAATCTCGGAGCCAATGCTTGAGGCTACCAAAGCCATGAAGGCGAACAATGAGAAGCAAGACGAACAAATCCGAACTTTGATGGAACACAATCGATTGCTCGCTGATTTTCTTGGGAGAGTTCAAGCTTCCCAGCTGAGGCCTGCGGAAAGTATTCCCCGACAGTACTATCAAGGTCAACCCCAGGAGATCATTCCGCTGCAAGCTGTCAATCATCAGCCGCCTACCTACTACTACGAACGCTCTCGAGTGTCTGGCAACAGTGGCCAGATCTTCAGGTTCGACTAAGCACTGGATTCGAGGAAAAGGAAACGACAGGATGGGGTATCATTGGGGTGGACTTTTAGTAGCGGGATGGAACGCTTCGTTATGGAGATGATGGATTTAGATTTTGCTCGAGGATGGATGAACTTTGGGCATTGGAGTTCAGGTATTAGGGTTGGGTTGGTAAGACGGGCCACTACTAACCATACACTTTATTTCCTGGCGTTAAAAACATGACCGTTAAGTAAACGGAATGAACAATTGCTAAATACCAAATTGAATTAATTTGCTTTACTTGCTATGAGTAATACTGATTATTGATAACTATGAAGTCTCTTGAATATTCTAGCAATAGCCTCGTCGGACACTCGGAGACGGAATCAACCACTGACATGTCAATCAGCCTCCACGTGTAAGACAGAACCAACAACAAGAACGATGAAACCACGACGAATAAACTTTTACATAAAGCAGTGGAGATGCCTCTTTAGCCGCTTTCCTAACTTTACCGAGCTTCCCATGGCCCGTTGAGACCAAAGCGCAGCCCCAGCCGCGACCGCAACCGCAACCGCATCAGTTAGGCAGGCTACTTTGTCAAATGCTCGACGATGACAGGCGAGAGATATCGAATCTCGCAAAGCTTTACCCCATACTGTTTCATAATAGCCTCTGGGGGTGTGTGGGCTTTCGATCCCCGGTGGCGCATGCCCATGCCCTTGCGGGCGCGGGGGGGGAACCTACCTAGAGGCTAGGGCCCAGGACCTAGGACCTAGGGGACCCTACCAATGCAACTGAAGATGCAAGCGTCGACCCGATTCGTGCTGGGCGACAGCAAATTACCGACATGAATGCGTCATCCCGTTTGCCGCTAACAAAGAAGAGGCCAAGGAGGCTTTTTCTGAGGTCGAGAATCTTTGGGCATCGAGAGGCGAAAATCTGGGGTCGTAGCATGCAGCATCCATCCGTAGGACTACTCTGCCTAGCTAGGTACTCTGCCTGTCTCTGCCTCTCTCTGCCTGTCAGATCGGCAACTGAGTTTGGAACTTGTGATTCTGCCACGGCAGATGAATGGTGACAATAGTTTCCTACCCCGCAAATTCAACTGCTGCAAAGGGTGTGATCAGCTTTTGATCTTTGATGATCTTGTCAGCTACGAATGACCAAGTACGAGGCGCAGTTCTGAGTTCATCATCACCAATTTTGTACGTTTCTTTCGGATACAATGGATTGTTCCCCGTCAGTCGACCACAAATTGTTACTGTACATACATCCTACATATGCGTGCGGATGAGATGGGAACAATCAGCTGTAAATAAGCCGAGATCTTACAAGACTCCGTAGGGGCAGAACAGAACAGCCGACTTTGGGGGTTGTCTCGTTCGTTAGCCTCATCTGGAGATGATGAACGGGGGCTGTGAGTGGACAGATGGTCTGCTCTCTCTCTCTCTCTGTCCTTACTTTACTTTTCTTTAGCGGCCTGTGAACATGGAGTGAACAAAAAAAAGTGACGAGGGACCGGCCCAGCCCAGTCGATTCCAAGGACGTGACTGGCTGGCCGGATGGTATGGATCAGCCTTTCCAAGGGCATTGGTTGGATTAGACATTCTCGTCACACTGCCTCATTACATACTTTTTGGCTCGTTCCGTGTCTCTTTTCGTTTCTTTCCTCTCCATCTCGCATACCGAGCTAGTCACCTTAAGACACGCATCGTCATTGCACGATGACGTAGCATGCGTGAACCTACCCAAGCATCATCAGCATGGGAGTTGCCTTAGCTTGTGACGCCAGGGTCCTGAGTTTAATTAGTCTAAGCCGCAATTCAAAAGCAGGGCAAAATCATGTTTGAACATTGAAATTCACAAACCCCAAAAAGAAACAAAAATACCAACTAGAGACAGAAAATAAGCATGAATGTTTCCAGTTAAACAGAGATATCGATATCAAATCGTACTGTAAAAAGTATATGTCTTCGCTTCCACTCACCAACCAGTTAAAACCTCAGCTGAGATCACCCACCCTCTCTTCGGTACGGCACATGCAGAGTTCCCCCTCACCACAAACGCTTGTGTCACCAAGAGCGGAGACGTCCAGGCCAAGGGATCCTTGAACCTTGAACCTTGAAATCTAAGGGTTGCCTAGCGCCGAGCGTGTAAGTCAGGACCACCACTCACCACTCACCACCACCACCACCAGACACAAAAAAAAACTGCCCACTCTTTGGCTCTGGCTCTGGCTCTGGCTCGGGCTGAGGCTCTAGGCTCGGGGATAAACATTGACCTGCACTGCAACAGAGTGAATGTGGGCTCTACCCGTATTAGAAGATGCCGAAACCAGCCCATTCCGACTCCAGCACGGATACTCCGTACAGAGCAAGGTAATTTCACCCCCATTCTCTTGGACTCTTCTGATCAACATATCCGAGCACTCTGAGGGTGTCCCCTTCCGTTGGCTTGCCTTACTCTGCCTTGTCTGGCCTCGCCTCTTTCTCTCTCTCTCCTCCTCAACTATTTATATCCCTCCTCTTCCCTCCGTTCCCAAACCGATTCATCTCTCTCTTCTCCATCAACAATCACCAGACTCTACCTTCCATCCCAAGAACTACTTCAACTTCAACAAAATCACGCCAACACTTTAACACCACAAACCCCTATTACCAACCAACATCATCAACATGCCTGCCTACGAGTACTGCTGCCAGTGTGGAGGCATGATAGTCATCAGCACCACCTGCACTGCTTGCGGCCACAAGCAATGCAACAACTGCCCTCTGTGCTAAAGCATTCACCCACAGACACGTCTCGACGGCATTTCCCTCCTCTCTCCTCTCTCCTCTCACACAACACACGCTTGGAACTCTATCATGACAAAGGGCTACAGCATGGCGAGATGAGAGTCTGGATACCCTCGCTCATACGAGACACGACTTTTTTAACGACTTCGACGATGGCGCTTCTATTCTGCTCGGAAACTGCCTCTACTCCATTCACACCTATGACCTGGTCGTCACATTCACCATTTCACTTGTTCTTGATTGACACCTCAGCGACTGGTTCTTCAAGCAATTATCCTCTTTCTCCAACAGCAAAAGCTTTGCTCTCAGCCTCTTTTGGGGGTGTTTATGCGAAGGCGCCACGGGAAAGATATGACGTCGGATTTTGGGCGTTCTATTACTCTATGCTTTTACGTTTTGGACTTGTCTCGGGGTTAACGGGGAATGAATCGCAACGGATTTTCAGCTGTAACAATAATTGATACCCGCGGTCTCTTTTTGGGCCTTTGACTTTTGAGTATCAGAGACAAGAATCAATACCAAGTTTTATCAACCCACTTTCGGCGTCTTTTCGCCCGGCGCTTAGTCTTGTGATTCGAATTGATGAGTCCATCGTGAGATGAAACGCTCCAATCATGAATGTAGATTGCAAATTCTTGGTTTACTTGCTACTACTAAACGCTCCATTGGACCCTTGTTGCAGAAAAAAACAACCCCCAAATTCTGTGCCATGGCCCGGACTCGCCCGATCTACAACCTGACGGTCCCCGGAAATTTCCCTTCGTTACATAATATAGTAAACCTCACGTCGGCCCTTCTCCATGGTTTGGAAATGCAATGCCCACAAGCTAGAACCACATCGCCACGTCGCACCGACAATAATTGCAGCAAACACAACAACAGCCTTGATTGTAAGTAAAAATGGAGGCTGACAGCCTCACCCCCTTCAGATCAGCCGTGTGTGCCATAGGCTGCTTGGGAGACGCAAAAGTTGAAGGTGGGTGCTGTCCTACCCTAGAGCCAATACATGAAATTCAAATATTTGCATAATTTAAACTGAAGCTCGCGTTTATGACGTTGCGAGACTGTTCTATCTTAGTCGCGATGCCACAGCTTGCGATGCTCTAACAGTCCGACTAACTCTCTAGTGGTCAAGTCTCGATAGTGACTTACTACTATGACCCGAGTTGCTCACTTGCGAGTTTGGTAGAATCGTGGGGGGTCGTACGCGTCTTGGACATGTCAGCATGGGCGCCAGGTAGACCGAGCATTATGGGTGACCATCGTTATTTATCTCATCTACAATGTTCAACTACAGGCCTGATGCCAATTCCCATTCCTTGACTATGGCCATCCTTTGCTTTGAAATAGCGAAAACTCTCCATGGGTCAACATTTTATAATCCGGCATAGTTCCTCACTACGTCTTTTGGCCTTAGGCTTCCGATCCTATACGTACAAAACCAAACACCTCCCCAGCCTTACTGAATGCATGCCCGCTTGTTCCGTTCCATTCTGCTTCCTGACATATCATTTCCTTCCACACCTTGCCTGACGCCAGCTATTCGAATCAAGGACCTGCTCGATCTCTTGCTAGCAGGGCCAATTTGCGCCTGATACTAGATTCCAACCATCCTTCCGTCAATGACCGAATTATCCCCAAAAGAAAACATATAAGGAGTGACATATCCTTCACCCCACAAAAACACACGAATGTTGGGGTCCTATTATCGAAGGCTCTGCTCGATGATTCAGGACGCTGAGATTAAGTTTATGAAATGAAAAGGGCCGTGAGGTATCTTGGTCATGAGTCTCATGCTGTCGACAAAGGCGAATTAAGAGAAATGAAAGAAATATAAAAACAGTCGTCGTTTGCACTGCTAAATCATCCCGCCGGGAACTGCATTGCTGCTCATGCTAGGAGGCAGAGGTGGTGCTGCCATAGGCGGAGGAGGAGCTTGATGCATTGATCTAGCTCGTGCGTTCATACCGTTTGCCTCGCTAGTGGCTTTGCGCAATCTCTGGCGGTTCATCCCTGCGCCATCTTCATCATCACTTCGAAAGCCACCACGTTGGTCATTCGCAATACTAGGGCTCATAGGGCGGCGATGAGCGCTCATGGTACCTTCAGCGAGCGTGGCTCCTGTGTTTTTGCGTCGAGGGTTGATTGGCGGCAAAGGAGGAGCAATGTTGCTATGCAGGTTAGGCGTAGAAACCGCACCACCATTGAGTCCAGGTCCGGGGCCAGGTCGAA